GACTCTTGATCTCAGGCTTCTAAGTTTGAGCCCCATGTTGGTTGTAGAGATTACCTAAAAATAAAACCTTAAAAAAAGAAAAAAGAAGAACAATGTTTGTAAGGCCTCCCTGAAAGATGCTGGGAGTCCCATTTGCATTGGGAGCCCCGAGGAGGGAGAGGACTGGAAAGCATTCAGCGTCTACAGAACATGGATGGCTGGTGGGCCGAGCTTTAGGGCTCAATCATGGGAGAGGGGGACCTGGTCTGAAACAGTATGGGGCAGTTAGACTCCAGGAAAACCTCCAAAAGCCTCCAGACGGTGTGTGGAGGGACGTGATGGCCCCCTCAGAGGGGAAGAGAGGGGGCATTGAGCCTCGCGGCCATCGCTGATCTTTGTCGAAAGGCCCTGGAGGATAGACACCCCAGTAGCTCTAGCCCAGGCTGGGCAGAGCCCCGGACACGGTCACTGCTGCTTCAGCCTTACATCCTCATCTGGGCTGCCGGGCTGAGCAGGGCCCCTGGAGCCAGTCCCAATCTGTTTCCTTCTATTCTTCGACAGGAAGCTCCTGGAGAGCCAGACCCCACCCCCCACCCCGCCCCAGCACTCCCTCTCTTCTCCACTATGGACAGAGCCACCGTGGAGCGGCTGCCTGTCCGCTACAGACCCGGCTGACATGGGCACCGTCGGAGCAACGCCATTGTGCTGGGCCATCCTTGGCTTCCTCCTACTCCAAGGTAAGAGGCACTTGCCTCTCTGCTTCAGCAGCTCCTCTCCCGCAGCTGCTAGTCCTGGGTGCCTGTCCGTCCTTCACCATGGACGAGGCATATGCTCTCCATCCAGGCCCGTGCCCAAGGGAAATTCCAGAGCCTTCTCATGAAGGGACCCAGTTGAATTGGGGGTGAGGGGGGTCATTACTGAGTGAAGGTAAAGTCGAGATGTGGTTAAACCCTTTTGTGGGAAAATTGCCAGGGTGAACCGCGGTCCCCACAGAGGCTGGCCTCCTGAAATATGGGGAAGTGACTCTCTTGGCATGAGACTGAGGCCAGAAAGCTCCTTCCAGGGTGTTCTAGCACAAAATTGTCTGCACCTTGGGCTTTACAGGTGATCCTTATTCTTCTTTCACATGAGGAGTAACAGCTTGGGAATTCCAAATGTTGACTTGAAGCTCCAATCACAGCCAGAGGGACTCAGGTTAGATACAAAGAACTGTTTATCAGAGAGGATGTACACAGCACCCTCGCCCGGTGGGGGGCTGGGTGAGAAGACACCCAGAGGAGATGACTGGAAATAACACCTCTGAGACTGGACTCTGCTAGCTGATGAAGTGTGAAGCCGCTCAGAAGGGGTCCTCTAATTAGGGAGCAGTTGCTGGGAACCATGAGAAATCCAGGAGATTCTGACTCACAGGGCAGCAACTTCCCTTTGGTCATCCCTTCCCCACCCCCACCTCACTCTCCAGCAGTCCTCTGTTGGAGACTTATGAGCCTGCCCTCATGGCAGCAGCAAAGAGTGCAAAATGCTTGGACGGGGAGAGAGGGTGGCTCTCCCCTGGTGTGTGTGGGGGGGGGCGGCGCTAGACTCTTGTAGAAACCACAGGAATGGCAGAGGAGATTAAAAGGCGAGACTCGTGAGAGGGCACTGTCCAGGCAAGCAGCAGGGCTTGAAATGCCCTGGGTAAACTCTGCATAAGCCATGCTCACCCCTTGCCCTGCGAGTTTCCTCATCTATCATCGCAAAATCTCAGCACACTTACTATCCTCCTTGAGGAACCCTTTTGAAGCTAATCAGGCCCACAAGGAGACTTGACTTGGATACACAGAAACTTGGAGGATTGGAGAGAATGGCGCAAAAATAAAAATGTCTAGCATATATTGAGCGTGGACTGTCTGTCAGGCATGGGGTTAAGCGCTTTATATGAATTTTCTTATCCACACAAGCACTTATGAGGTATGAAAGCCATTTGCATTTTATTTATTTATTTTTTAAAGATTTTATTTATTTATTTGAGAGAGAGAGTGAGAGACAGAGAGCATGAGAGGGAAGAGGGTCAGAGGGAGAAGCAGACCCCCCCGCTGAGCAGGGAGCCCGATGCGGGACTCGATCCCAGGACTCCAGGATCGTGACCTGAGCGGAAGGCAGTCGCTCAACCAACTGAGCCACCCAGGCGCCCGCCATTTGCATTTTAAAGAAGGGGCCCAGGTCAGAGAGAAAGCGGTCGAGTCTGGACTTAAACTCACACCTGTCAGACTCCAAAATCTGTGATTTTTTTAACTGCTAAGTTATGCTACTGAGGAAAATAGGGGACGGGGGTGGTGGTGAGGGAGAAAGGAGAAGCTGGAAGGTCATGAAGCAGGTAGGGATTAGGGAGGAGAGGCAGGAAAATCAGAATCTCTGTGGCCGGGGTTGTGGGGTTCTTGGGCTGTCTGCAGGCCCAGTGGTCAGAGATACCCTGGCCTGCAGAAACAGATGTTCCTGAAATCTCTCCCCTACTCACAGAGGAATCCACTGGTGACAGAAAGTTCTGGTAGGGGGACAGGGCCAGAAGACAGAGAACAGGGTACTGGCACTTGGAGCCTGTGACTTTGGAACTCCTTCCGAGACCCTAATTTTGTTTCCACATCTGCAGGAAGGCAGTGCACTGTGGCTACTTGCTAAAAGCTAACGTTACAACCTGACAGAGCGCAGATGGTACCTAGGACACGCTTGATCAGTAACTGCCGGGTGTTTTCAGGCTGTGCCTTGAAAGGTGTTCTTCCAGGGTCATTTACAGCTGGGCAGAGTTCTCTCTAGCCTCGGGCACCTACAAGTGTTAATCTCCCTCTGATGTCCCCACCCAAACCGGGGGTGGGGCTACCAGAGACTGGTGACCTGGAAAAACACAGCCAGGGTTTGGGCAAGCTTGGGTTTGGAAACCATTAAACCCACACCATCCAAAGTGATAGCCCCATGGAGGAAGGCAGTGGCTAAGGAAAATAAACAGAGTGGCAGGCTGGGAAGGCCCTGGCTGCGGCCACCTCGGCTCACCCAGGCCCAGGCTTGGGACTTCCCTGTGGACGGGGGCCTGGGAGGCCGAAGGCCAGGCCAGAGGCTGCGGTCCCAGCCGTGGCAGAGGGACGGGAACCCAGCTGGGCGGCTCCACTTCCCCACGTTGTTTTCCTTTCACATTGTTCACAGGTTTCAAGAATGATTTCATTGTGGAAAATGAGCAAACACAACCTGACCTTTCAGGTCCCACACACACAGGGGACACACAGAGGGGCACACAAGCACACGTACACATGGACCCAGAGGCCCACAGGCGTACACGTGTCCATACAAAAAAGCCAATGAGGGCTTCTGACTGGGGCCTCCTGGTAACTGGCTCCTCCCTGGGTTTGGCTAACAACGGGCCATTTCTGAAGTAGCCTCTGCCTATGAAAGTAAAATTGGCCACATGTTCTAGAGCTTTCCTGCCCCCTATATATACCTCAGACTCGCTTCTTGTGTGCACCCCTCCTTCTAGCTGGGGGGTGGGGCGGGCAGAGAGACAGCCCAGATACCAACCCCAATCCCTAACCTCATTTTATTCACCACATCTTTCCATCCCTTTCCCTTGGGGGCAGGACCAAGATGACAATATTCACAGGGAGAAATGGATGGCTCAATGGTAGGGTAGCAAGAACCTGAAGTCCTAGGTCCTTATCTAGATGTCACAGGTCACTGGCCCTCTGTCCTTGGACAAATCACTAGTTTGAAATAACCTTCCCCTGACCTCCTATCAGCTTGGCATAAAACCCATGTGGGATTAAAGAGACAGGAAAGGACTCTGGGACACTGAACCATGAGGTGGTGGTGATGGTGCTATTGAGTTGTGGGTGGTTTCAGAGGAAGCTAGCCCTGTGAGCCAGAGCCACGTCCTGCAGCCCTCTGCCAAGTGTGTCTGCCTTCCAGCACGGAGGGCTTGGAAAGCCTGGGTTCTTCTGTGGGCTCTGTGCTGGGCAAGAGACTCACCAAGTGAGTCAAAGTCTTCTGCTCTCTCTTGCAGGCCACCACTCCCAGCCCACTACAATGCAGACATCTCGCCCTCAGGGTAAGATCAAACACACGGGGCCTACTCTGGCATTTAGGCCTGGCAGCTTAGGAAGGGCAAGAGGAGCACAGAGCTCAGGTCACGGGGGCCGGGGCCAGAGGTCTCAGGACATCGAAGGCTGAGTCCAGCTTGACCCAGGCTAATGAGCCTCAGAAGAGGACAGAGATAAATGGCTGGTGGGGGCGGGGGGGGGGGCAGGGAGAAAGACTAGAAAACTCAGGCTATAGGGAAGAAGAGAGGGAGACAGAGCTATACGTAGCAGTGACCCTCAGCCTCAGATGATTTATTTCAGGAGCCTTCAGCCATCAAAGTCTAACCACAAAGCTACTTTCTTCCAACATAGGTGAGTGAGTGTGGCTGCGGAGGGGCAGGTCCCTGTCCCCGCCCGGCCCCCTGCCCAGCCCTTCAGATCTGCTTGGAGCCCAAGGGTTCTCAGGTGGGCAAGGGACTGTGGTGTCACCCAGCCTGCCCCCTCCAACCTCCCCTTGCCTCTGTCCTTGCAGGAGACAGCCCTTCCTCAGAGCCCAGCAGCCCAAGCCCTCTGGCCAGCACTGGGACCCCAGGTACTCTGCTGCTCAGATCCAGATGCCCTCTGGGGAGGGCCCAGTGAGGAAGCAGACACAGTTGCTGCCCTACAGAAGAATACAGACTGGTGGGGGAACAGACAAGTAAACAGGACCGTATGTTGCCAACTACAAAGCAGTGGGAAAGGGCTGTGATGAGCATAAGCAGAAAGGGCTGCAAGGGCCAAGACAGACACAGACGTAGGCCGCTTCAGACTCAGGAGCCTGGGAAGACATGCTAGAGTGAGTGACCTTGGAAGCTGAGGCCCAAGAGGGAGTTAACCAGATGAGGAGTGTGGGGTGGAGGGTGGGAGGGAGACCTTTTCCAGGCAGAGGCCTTTATAGGTAAAGGCCCAAAGTTAGAAGAGAGGATGGCTCCTTCTGGAACTGAAAGCAGTAAAGAAAAGGAAGATTTTGGACTAAAGAGGCCCCCTCGTACAGGCTGGCTGAGGCCCTGAGCAGGCCTACCCATGCTTCCTAATCCACAGCAGCTCCAGAGAAGGCCTCACAGGTCCTCATGGTAGCCAGGAAACCCGTGACACCGAGCACCAGTACTGTGGATGGTCACTCCCAGTCCCCGCTGGGCCTGACTCAGTCCCAGACACAGAAGTACACAGCAGGACTTGGTGAGTACCTGGGGCTGAGGGTCAAGAGCATGGGGTCATGTCTGGTTGGGGTCCTTCTCCACCTCCTCAGAAGACCCAGGATCTGCCCCACAAGGAGGCCTCACAGGGCCAGGATCCACATCAGTGGCAGCCTGATTTGGGGATGAGAGAGGTTTGGTGGGAGGTAGAGACACAGCCTTGGGCCTGGTCACAATGAAGGCAAAAGGAGCCTGGATGGACTCGGGACTGATAAAGGCATGGAGGGGAAAGGGAGAGGTAGAACTCAAAATGATGGCAAGGGAGGCAAAAGGCGTTTGGCCAGGGCCACACACTCTTTGGGGCAGGTTGACCTTCACATGCCAATGTGGGGCAAGAGCTGGGAGGGGGTGGACCTGCTGGTTCATGGCATATAGGCCCAGCACAGCAGCCTGACCGTTTCTCTCATCCTACCCCTTGGCTCTGGGAATTTTTTATACTCACAGACTTATTTGGCAGTGCAGGGATGGATAAGGAAACGGACAGCGATCAGACCTGCAGTACAATGAGTGGAAGAGGGGGTGCCTGGCTGGCTCAGTCGCTGGAGCTGTGACCCTTGATCTCAGGGTTACAAGTTCAAGCCCCATGTTGGGTGTAAAGATTACTTAAAAATAAAAGCTTAAAAAAAAAAAAAGAGCTGAAGAGGGGAAGAGATGGGTGATAGTACTACTTTTTAAGAGGGCCAGAAACTTGTGTCCCTTAACTGGCAGCCTGCCTCATTAAATCGGTGCCTGGGGATAAACATCCAGTGAGCTTTTCTCCACCCACTTAAACCTTTGGCAAAAACACAGATTGCTCTACATTGCCCAGCCTGGCTCCCTATCTCTGGAGCATAAGTGGGCCCCAAGGGGATGGTGGGAAGAGATTAACGGTTGCAGGGGGGCCATCTTGAATTTCTGGAGTCCCCTGGAGCTAGTAACATGAGCAACCAGCAATGCCGTTCACCTGATCCCACATTACCCAGTTCCGACCTCCATCCTCATGAGATCTGGTCTGAGTGGCAAGGAGGAAGTCTTTTTTGTAGGGCATGAGCTCCTTCTGAGTTCTTTACCTGGGGAAGTGGGAGGGGAGCTAGCTTTCTCTCTCTCTGGTGGGCCATCCCAGTCCCGTCACTGATGCACCCATCCCCACTCCATTTCAGACACTTCTCAAAATATTACTCCCATATCAACCACCATGAGTCTGAGGACAAGAGAAGACTCTTCCATCCTGCCCAGCCCCACATCAGAGACGGTGCTCACTGTGGCTGCATTTGGTAAGAGGGAGAAGGTGGGAAGAGTGGTAGAACCAAGAACTAACTTGGACTCTGGATCTGGAAACACAAGTTTAAATCCCACCTATTTGTTCTAGGAGGGCTTGGCTGATGAAGAAGGCCCTGGTAGGAAGGAGCCTCCACTGGCCCTCCAGTCAGCTCTTCTGGGCTCTGCTGGGTTCCATGTTCTTATGGGAGGGTGAGGCAGGGCTGTGGAGCTCGCTCTGGGCAGGGGTAGTGGGCTGAGAGCTCATTCATTCAGCAGAGAAGGGGAATTCACTTTGCTCTCAGAGCCTATCTACACAGCACTTTGCTGGGAGGGGAATTTGGACTCCTGTTGCCCCCTTTTGACCCTCCTTTGCCTCACCTTTACCCTGTCCTTTTCCCTGTTCAGGTGTTATCAGCTTCATTGTCATCCTGGTGGTTGTGGTGATCGTCCTAGTCAGTGTGGTCAGTCTAAGGTTTAAGTGTCGGAAGAACAAAGAGTCTGAAGGTACATGCCCTGCCACTCAGGGCCCCCCTTTGCCCCTCTTTGCTAAGAGACCAAGAGCTACATTTGGAGTTTAGGAAAAGAATGGCACATAAGCACCACTGATGAGACAGAAGGGCAGTCCACTTGGGTGGGCTTCTGAGTTACAGCATGTGACCCCCAATTTGTGCCTTTGAATATTTTACAGATCCCCAGAAACCTGGGAGTCCGGGGCTATCTGAAAGGTAAGATTGTCAGAGGTGTAAGGGAGGAATCATCTATCTGACCTCTCAGTCCCCCACTCCAAGAGAGAACTGATACTTCCTGGAGCGCCTGTGTGATTCAGTCAGTTGGGCGTCCAGCTCTTGGTTTCAGCTCAGGTCGTGGTCTCAGGGTCGTGAGATCAAACCCCGTGTCAGGCTCTGCATTCAGTGAGGAGTCTGCTTGAGATTCTCTCCCTCTCCCTCTA